TCATACATCTGTGATCATATTGCTAAATGATAATAGAGATATCTGATAAAAAGAGCTTAGTCTAATGAGGTAGGCTTGACAGTGAATTCCTTAAAGATTAATGATAAATGATACAATAGCAATGAGACAAACAATATTCTGAAGAAGAAGCTTCACTGAAAAAAACCCCAAAATTGCCTATGGTGAACGTAGGACCAGTACCTTGGGGGCTTTCTCCTGCTATCTAAAAAAGAATCTTTTGTGGTTACTGTCTGATAGCGTTGAAGAAAAGTAAAACAGATCAGTGGAAATATGAAAGATTGTAGACACAAGAAACAGCCAAACAGTTTTCTAAAAAACAAACAACTCCAGAAAAAAAATTGATTTCTTCTGATATCTTTTCTAAATTACTAAATGATGGGAATGTTGTGAATGTAACACATTTCATTCTAACACAAATATTTGATGAATATTTGATGTTTTCATGAAATCTTATGAACTGTATATTCTTCTAGATAGGAACACTTGGGCAGGGTAAAAACTGGCTGAAGTAAAGGAAGACTGTTAAAACATTTTGACAGTCTTTTTTGGCTTTAGTGAAAGGAAGTAGTGCTGATTTGAAAGTATTATGCTACATTATTTCTCTTTTATCCACATAATTTTTTATTCCGCATAATCAGCTGTGGATTGTGTAGTAACAAATAGTGGCCTCTTTGAGGATATTTAAAAATTTTCATTCATGCATCTTATAATTTTCTCTTTCCATGTAATTCCTACTGCAATCAATCACAGGACTGCAAAAGGCAGGATTCTTTCCTCTCCCCTGCCTGGCTTTCAGTGCATCTCTGTAGGGGTTCTCCTCTACATGTATCCATTGACTCATACAGGGTCAAGGCCTGAGAATTCAGGTTGAGACCACTTTGAAACAATGACCCCAAGTATAAAAAATTCAGAGAATAATGATATTTATCAGATAGAGGGAAAATAGAAACTCTTTGGGCTGGATTCAGTTCCCTGAATATTTGCCTAGTGCCATTTAAGAAGGCTTTGGCTTCAGCAGAGTGCTCCAGAAGGTTGTAGGTTTCATACAGGTCCTATACCATATTTTCTGGCACTGTGTGATTGTCTCAGAGCCCATAAATCATCAGTGTATTGCTAGACATAAAAGTTTACAGAGCTGAATTGAGATTTCAATGTACAGATAACCTTTTAGTAAAATTTTCCTTCTTTGACACTCTCATCAGTCTTTATTTCTGCCTGGTTCAGGACTGCTAGCCAGCTTTGTTGTGTCTTGGAAAGCATTTATGAAACTCTAACTTACAGTTGTAAGCATGAGAAGTACGAATTTTACTCATTCTGCTTGCCCCACCGTGTTCAGTATTCTAGCGGTGTTAGTCAGGGGTGTGGTTTGGCCAATATTTTAAGCTCTGTCCTCATTACATCATAAAGGGAATATGTTATCATAAACCTGCCCTAACAGCCAAATTCTTGGCATGGCATTCTTGGTAAAGTCTGGGGGGAATTGTCTCCCGGCTGACCCCAGTGCTGCCATTGGTCTCACATTCATTTGCACCCGCTTCACTGGGAAGTTCATACAACACCATGTTAAAAACCATTATTGTCGCATGATTGTCCAACTTTTTACGAGTAAGAAGTGCACATGTCAAATGCACAATTTTAATGCATCAATAATTGTGTTAAAGAGTGTTTATTACTTGGAAGAGGTTAAATATTGATCCCTACACACATCATTTATTTCAAGAAGAAAAATAATTCATATTCATAGATGTGATACTTTCTTAGTTGACATCATCAAAATAACCATAGTGAAAGACTTACAAGGATATTATCTAAGACTCTTTGGGTGCATTGAATTAAACGCTGAGAGACAGAACATACTTTAAGCCTCCCCCACCTTCCTTTTTTTGTCTAAGATCTGCTCATTAAAAATAAAATCAAGGATACAGCCCAGACTAAGTGTTTATTGATGAGTAATATGTGACATTCAAGTCAGCAGTTATATTTGTAAAATATCCGTATTTTTTATTTGTCTCTGCTTAGGAAACAGTTTGAGATATTTATTGCAATATTTAAAGAAAAACTCTTTATTGGGACCTGTAGGGTGGGAAGGAGAGGAAGGTTAGAGGTCATATGGGATGTGCATATGTGTACATTATTAATTCTTTTACCACTGATAAAATTCATTCCAACAGACTGTTTTAAGAATATTTTTTAACTTTTGTGATCATTTAAGATATATCTTTGTAGAAAAGTAACAAGCTTAATGTGACTAGGTGATTTTTGTTACTGAGACTTTCTATTAATTTCTTCCCACCTGACCAAGCTTGCTGCATTTAACCAGCCATATGCAAGATTCTGACTTTTTTAAAGCTGTAATAGTGTGAAAGCGAATTTTAAACTCCCCTAACAGCAAACAGTAATGCAGAGAAACAGGAGGATGTGGTGCCCACTCAAAGCTACCCAGCACGTTCAAGTACTTTTTTTGCAATTTTTTTTTGTTTTTATGAACAGACCTAGAATGATTCACCAAACACGGTGTATTTACATTATTTTTAGCAAACGCATTTCACTGTACTGAAGAAGTAATCAGAGTTGCAATTAACACAAAGTAAAACCAATAAAGATTGTGTTTTCAGGGATCATTGATTTAAAATAAATTAATTCCTGTCCCATGAAATTTCTGTTTATATTATACCGTTACCAAGGTATTTGCATACAAACACATTGTTGTAATAGGATGATGCACAAAAGAACAATGGAAAAATATACATGTTGTTGCATGTGTTATGTGTAATATAATATGGAAAGTTAGTAATATATATCTTGGTTAAACACATGAGAAAAATTAACAAAAATAGGCCATTAATGATAAGGAAAAGGAATGAGTGCTATAGGACATTTTACCAGATCAATTACAGAAGGAAAATTTGAACTGAATAATATGGATGCGAGCCTGCAGGTAGAGGTAGGAAAAGAGAAAAAAAAGGGAACAAAGGTTACTACATTAAGCAGAAAATTTAAAGGGACACCACAGATTTCTGTAGTCTGAGTCAGATCACAGACCTGATTCTCCTGGAAATTAACTCACAGAAAAAAATAAAGCAGGAAAACTGAGGAATTATGCTCTGTGAATATAAGTTACTGCAAAAATACTGACTTCAGTGGATACAAACTGCACAATGCTGCTTGAGTATATGGCACACAGGGTCTTTCTATATGGTACAGACATTTTGTCTGCCACTATGTGTAGCAATGACTTAGCCAAATTTTTTCCTTCCTGTCACTGTTGATGCACTTTGCAATTTCCCACCTTTCTGCTGACCTCCACAATAGAGGCGGTGTTATTTCAGCTGTGGCATTTTGAGATGACTGTAGTTGAAATACTAAAAAAACTAAAAAATGCATCCAGTGCTTTCACTTTCTTCAGGCTACACTTTATCCTCAGCTATGCTGATAAAAATCCAACGCAAATGAAAAGATATGTGGTCAGGTTTTGACAGAAAGAGGAAAAGTAGATGAATAGGGCCAATATAAAGATTTCACATCAACAGCAAGAGGTGTGACAATTTGAAGATATGTGAATATTGAACAACCGAAAGGAAAATTAAATGATGCACAAAGATAAAAATGGTTATACTGGAGATATAAACAAAAATCTGAGAGGGAAAAAACGATGGGAAAAGTATAATTTTAGAGTAGGCAGTTTGAGAGAGGCATTCCTTTTAATGTCTTTTAATTCTTTTTGGTGAAGAAAATAAATGTAGGTCAATGAACTTACATAACTGAGGCTGCAAACTGTCCTTTGATTTGTACTTTCTGAAATACAAATGATCCATAGGCACCACAGGTTAACTGTTTATATGTAAACCAAATATATTAGCTTTAGATTTCTTTGAGTAGTTTAGAGAGCTGTTGTCTATCTATGCATTTTAAACAGCAACAAGACTATTGTTACTAGTTTTCAAGACATTTCAGTCACTATACCTACTATTTTTTTTCACTACTGTACCCTCTACCCGTAATCCATTGACACTTCTGTATTTGTGGCATGTGGGATCAAGATCTCAAAATACAAAGGGCACCTCAAAACATTAATTTCTTACAACATTTAGAAATATTTTCACACAATTCCACTGAAGACATTTATTGCTGAATGAACTGGAATTTCCACCTCTTTCCATCTCTGTAGCTGCCACTGGCATCTTCTTTCTTGAATGTCATCATACCTCTTCTGTCCCGAACACAGCAAGAATTTCTTCCCTTTTCCCCTGCTGGTTTCAGGAAAATGTCTGGATTCTTTGAAATGGTGACATACATGTATGTGGAAGATCATATGATGCTGCCGCTTTTTTCCCCGTGACCTTGTGAGTCAACCGGCAATGAAGTAGCTATAAAAATGAGCAGTCAGCAGAATGTTCCTTAAATAACTTTCCCCAAATTAAATCATTGAAAGGTAACGCAAAAGTAAACATAGGCATGAAAAAAACAATTGCATTTTATATGTTATTTTATGAATAACCTATTCATGAGCTCAGACCTGCAGTCAGGATTTCATTGATCAACACGTGTTGTTTCTTTTTAATAGTAATTTTTCTTGAAAATCTAGCCCAAAATACTTTAATGACCTCATGTGCATAATTCTAAGACCTCTCAATGAGAAGTTATTTTTTATTAGTTTATGAGGTCATTTATGCTATTTTGGTTATATCAGGGCTTTTTCGAGGAATCTTGATGCCAGACTAGCCAATAGCACATTAACCCACTTTGTCTGATTACACGATTCTGTATGCTTTCTGGATTTTATTAGCTGGTATAAAATACATTTGAAAAAAAAAATGAAAATAAGAGTATTTGATCTCTGAGCTTTGTAACAGAGAAAATAGTTAGAGCCAGTAGCATCTCCCCTGGATTTTAGGAGAATGGTATTACCCTGCCTTTCTCTGAGAGATTGCTGGTTACCTTCTGTCAGTGAGCAACTGTCTCACTGCAAAGCAGAAGCACGATCTCATCTCTTTTGTCTGTGTTCAAGGCAATTACTTCTTAGAAAGTGGAATTTCTTCAGAATGACTATGTACAAGAGCAAACGCAGAAACCAAAGATGTAAGTAAATTGTAAAGTTTTTTTAATGTTCTTACTGAGGAGGGAAAATAAATCTCCACTTTCATTGAAAACCATGCTTTACTTTATCCTGCTCTGGTTAAATAATAGCAGGAAAACGGGATCAGTATTCCCTGCCAATTATCCCACTGTACCTGTATGTTAAGTGCATGAAAGAGTTTTAAAATAAAAAATTAGCTCACTTGTTACTATGGAAACCCTCAGTAAGTGATTGCTTTATAATATCAACAAAGAAATAGAGATCAAATATAAGTTAAATTCAGAACAGCATCCTTTATTCAGGGCTTAATGATCAGATAGCTGTAGCCTTTGACTTGACAAGGTTGACACACTTTCACTTGGTGGACATTTTTATGTGGTTTTCTTTAGGGAGTCAGTGATGCCAGAACATTAAGGGCAGTGATTTTATTTTCCTTCACCAAAACTTTCAAAAGAATTAACTAGTTTACTTAAACCACAGAAACGGAAACGGGGAGGGAGGGAAGCATGCATTTGTCTGTTGTGTATTTAAGACACTCCAGCCCTGAAAATCCACTGGCTTTGAAATGCATGAGTTTCCAGTCAAGCACCTGTTTGACTTTTTAAATTGCTATGGCATCAGCCGGGGGAATTTTAGTACCAATATTGTCTCCTCCAGAACATTAGCAAAAGGTGACTGAGGTGAGTAACAACGAAGTGCTGTGGGTCAGGTCATGAGGTATGTGTTACTGTAAGGAAATCTAGCGAGAGGCCAAGTTATAAATGGAGAGTATGTCTGAGGCTGAGAAAAAAAGACATTCCTCTAAGAAAAATGCCATGCAGGGACTGTGTGCTTTCAGGGAGAGAGCAGGAGGGGAGGAATATCAATTCAAAAGAAGATAAGCTTGGACTGTATTTGGACAGGGGCATTGCTACTGTTCAGAGTTGAGGGGATATATACAGCTATATCATTGACCTCAGTTTCTGGTCCTTAAAGCTTAATCTGTACAGTTCTCCTTCAGCTTTTCTTGCCCAAAACAAATGGATGTGCTGCCTGTAGAAAGTTTGCAGGACAGATCTCTGCTAAAATCTCTGCAACAGAAATCAATCATCTGCTTCACATTCAATAAAATAAATTATCATAAATTTTGTTTCTGTATGAGCAGTGAAAGAAAATTATTTATATACAGGCAGATTATAATTAATCTACTTCATTTTAACATACTAATTACTCTCACGGTTATTATGTAAACCGGGAGTTCTTTCTATAGCCAGCTGCATTCTTGCATTCTCTTCTGTTCAAGTCTGGTTATGGTGTACAATAAGAAAATTTGTGACTGGGTAGCTGAGCTGTTAGGTTTTTTTGGTGTAGGGGTATAGTCATTCCTGAAAACTGTACGAGATGCTTTTAAGAATGTTTTTATGAAAAGAACTTGCCTTCTTCCCCTTTTCCCTCCACGCCTGCTACCCCAAGGAGAATCTGTGGTTTGTTAAGAGAAAAAAAGAAATATATATATATATAATTAGAATCAAATTTGTAATTATGATGGTGGCTGTTGAATTGTTTGAGATTTTTTAAAAACTGTCTCTAATTTTAAGATCCCAATCAATAAAATATCTCAATAAAACTGTCCCCACTATATTAGATACCAATACTGTATACATGGATGCTTCATCAATACCTCTTAACTAATTAGCAACTGCAAAAGTCCTAACAGACAAACAAAACAATTTGAGTCATTTTGATATTGCTTTTATTGATATCACTCAAAGGCTTTTTGAAAGATAGATTTAATCTAAGCAATTGTTATTCTGAAATACAAGGGATAATGGTAGCAGCTGTGTTAAGCAGTACACAAGTACTGCATTTTCTCTCCATTACATTTAACACATTTTATTTCAAACTTGAAGGCATTTTTGGTGGCCTTTAATAAACAATGATAAAAGATATTTAGTATATACGTAGGGTAAACCTTGGCATTTATATCTCCTCACTACCTCTGAATAAAACTCTTGAACATGTGACATAAAACAAAAGTGAGCTTTGTGGCTTTTTCTTATTCATTGAAGTTCTGCTTCTGGATTTGGTGCACTCTGAACAGTATTATAAGCATTGCTTTTCTAACATATTTTTTTCTTTAATGTTTGAAGAAGGGAGTAAAGGCATTTTGTGCTTAATTTAAAAGCACATCAGATCAAAGAGAAGGATAATAAAAATAGAGACATGATGACCTTTTTCTAACATAAAATATAAGGTATCTCCATTTCCAATTTCTGTCCCAGGTACAAAACTGTTGCTGGAGTAGGTGCGCAAAAAAAAAATAAAATGGGTCTACTTACTTGTCTGAATGAATGAGATAAAGGTTTCCTATGTATTTTTTCAGCTGCAGCATCATAAGTTCAAAAGTAATCTTAATGTTTCCATTTCATTGTACCATTCGTTTTGATTCTGGTCAAAGTGGCAATCATATTAAGTAGTTAACATATTTTATTTACTCATAGCAAATTGTGAAACTTGCATCACTAAATAAACAAAATTCAGATTAAGGCTATTTCTCTATGAGTGCTTCTGTGTGCCTACTTACACATACACACACAGTCTCCATGCATAAATTTGTCTGCACACCCAGATTTATGGCATGCTTTATCCTTAATTCAGGATGTTATCTAACTGGTAGTCTGGATTCTTATTTGATTGCAGGGACCTAATGACTGAGTGAGGGGAAACCATTGTAACAAACGCAGTCTTATAAACACTGAAAATCTGGTAAACATGTGGCAAAGCTTTTCTGAAATAAAAGGCTTGAATCTTAGATTGACCTGCTTTGGGGCTGCAGCTGCTGAGGATGATGGTCAGGGTAAGCCTTGAGGTAGTCTGTAGTGCACATGTGGGTCTTCTCCATGGAGAGACAATCATTCCTATCTTCTGGAGATGCCATGCCTCCAAGCCTCCTCTCATGAAGTAGTAGCAGGCATCCATTTTTCACTGGGGTCTTTCTTGTAGGCTTCACTGTTACAGATATTAAGGCAGGCTACTACCCTTGAAGAAAACAACACTGGAAAAAATCTACTTACCTATAAACCAACTTTAAGAAATTAGTATTACTATTGGTGGTGGTGGTGTTGTTATTTATTCATGGTTAGTGTAGCTTCACAACTTAAATCAGTACCACCTTGTGAAGGGCTGTGTATGAAAAGAATGAAAAGATGATCCTTAAAGATGCTTCAGTCTAACACTGTAAATTTGACTCAGAGGAAATGCAAGAGAAGAAACAGCAGTGGTCAGTGTGGCAGGCAGCTGTTATTTGAGGAAGGTATGCGGCAGCACCCAGGAGGAGATGGCAGAGTGATGACTGGAGAGCAGAGGTTGGTGTGGGACTTCCATGCTACACACCTGAACCGGGGGTTGGAAGGTTAAGGCAAAGATGGAAAAATTAAGGGGAAAAATAGAACTTATCTTTTGGTTTCTTCAGCTTCATGTTTTTGGTGCTTCAGGGGATCTTTTATGCATGTCAGCAATGACAATCAGAGCATAATGGCAGTTGAGGCAATGGGCAGTTACTTTTGGATATTAGTAACCATTGATAAAGCCAACGGTTATCATAAGTGCAGCTACAGATTCTGTCCCTGTCCAAGAGGTTAATTCCAAGGCATCAATCCCAAACTTGTCCATGACAATATGAAGAATCCTGTCAACAACAAATGGCCTTTAAATTGTGCTCCAAATGCATTAATTACTTCTGCCATGGCTTGGCTACCAGCTCCATGTAAAATATCTGTTTCCATTGCATATTACAGCTTGCTTAGATGAAGTAGGCATTGCTATTTTTTATGCTGACATGTTGTGAACAGTATTTTTTTTTTAAAGTATCATCCAGATCTTGTGAAGATTCTGCTTCTTTTAAAACCAACAGATGATTAGCTATATTTCAGGGCTTTTTTTCTGAAAGAGTAAGGAGAGAGGAGACACCATACTTTCTTTTATTCTGGTGATTTCTCTCTCCTCATAGGAGATATGTCACAATTTTACCTTTAATAGTCAAATAGATTATGATTCTTTGCCCTCAGTCTCCAATTCTGTTTGTCCAGTCCTAAATTTCCCTCCACACAGAGTGCTGTAGAAAGTAGCATGTGCATTTATTTATGGGTTAAATAAGTGACAGTAAAATGAAAGTAAAATAAATTCTCTTCAAAAGTATGCAGGTGGCTGCTGCAATGTAGAATGCATGTGGCTGTTGCAGAAGATCATAATATTTTTGGCTTAAACCAGTGCAGTACTTAGACATTCTGTCCCTAGGTGTCACCTGATGTGTATTTTCCAAGTGTCCTTATCTTGTTGGAGAAATAATTTCATGTATACTGATAACATCTGATGAGAAATTCTGTGAAATTCCAGTTTGAAGGAGTATTTTGTCCTATCAGCATTCTTTGATCTATTGCATTGCCTGCTACGTTTTCTTTTATTGATAAAGTCCCACTTTTCATCTTTTCATCATGGATTTGCTGTTCTCATCTTCTTTGTCCACCTTTATAGATAGTATAATCGCTTCCAGCCCTAAAAAATAGAGTTGGCATCTATTGAGTCTTGTTATATTACAGTTTAATCAGCCCATGATTACTTCCATCTTCTTTTTGCCTCTTAGGGCAATAAAGAGGCCCCAGTACTGAGGCCATCGCCGCTCAAAGAAAATAGCAGCTTTTAATACAGTGTGTTCTAGGAGTTAAAGTGACTGGAAAACCAAATCTCAGTGGGGAAAACAAGTGTAGTTACTGACCCAGATACATGTAAGAAAACTCTGCCTCTTTCTTTAAAACATCAGAGACCCAGACAACAAGGGAATATCTCTTCAGCATGATATAGAGACAGCTTTCTTCATGTAAAGCTATCCTGGAATAGCCCCAGGGTATTCCTATCGCTGCATACCTTTTGAGGAAGTCAAATTCAGCGCAATTAAGTGTATCAGTAATAAGGCTGAACAAGAAGACACTCATGACCTGCAGGAGTACAAATGTCATTGAATATT